ATTTGCATGAATTCTTTGACTTTTGGTATATTTTGAGGCCAATACTTTTACTGAAGTAACCTTTTAAATGCAAGACTTTTACTTGTAACAGAGTATTCCTACACATAATCTACTACTTCTACCACCTGTGGTTTGTAGTAAAGTATCAATAGCCCCATCAGACTGGAGATACTTTCTCAGGCAGCCTGGCTCACTGTGTGCTGCACTGGGCAGTCTAAAAGGGGGAGGCCTGTTGACTCCACCACTTCAAAGCTGGAAGGAATAGCCTGGGGGCAAAAGTTGAGGAGGTAATATTGAAGTTCTGTGTCAAAATGTCAGCCAAACATCTCCTCCCTCTGGCACTTGCAAAATAACGTCTTTTTAAATGTGCGTAGAAACGTTACTCACGTTCTAAACCGTTAGAGGTAGAGTTTAAAAGGAGGAGGTTGTACGGCTAATGACGTCAAACCGCTACTACGGTTCGTAGAAAAGTCAAAAAATGATCAATTGTAGGCTACCACAGAGACCCAGAAACTTGACTTTTCAACATTAAATCTCAGCGTACGTCAACTTCTCCACCCTTGACTGTAAACAAAAACAACAAAAGCGTTTTAAAAAGAACGTTATGACTTACCTAAATCGTCCATGGTGGCTGCCTGGCTTTGGCCTGAGTCAGTTTTATGTTTGAGCTCCTGAACTGTTTACGAAGTCTGATTTTTCCTGCAAACTTCACCGCTGACGCGCTGCACTGGAAGTTTTGTCAGGGTAGATCTCGTGAACGCGCTGCGATATGTGCATGTGTACTTTACGAGAGCGCGCACTGACTGTGACTGAGGTGGAGTGATGAGCGACACCTAGCGGCCAGAAGCTGTAGATGGATGGATGGATGGATAGATAGACAAGCTACAGTTGCAAATTGCAATGATTCTGAAATGGGATGTTGCATGCAGAATGACCACTTTTACTTTTTGTTTATTTTCATGGTACTTCATTTGTACTTTTACATAAGTAGAATTTCAAATGGAGGACTTTGTCCACCTCTGAGTACTAAGGATTTTTTAAATAAATATTGCCACCTTTTTATTTCTATTCCACAATACTTGAGATGGAACTTTTTACTGTACAACATTTATATGACAGTACTTCCTTATCACATCATTCTTTGTTGTAGAAAACAGAAGTTTTTCTGCTGGCTCCCAGGCCTCAACTCGTAGATTTCATGATTAATAATAACTTAATCCAAATCAAGAAAAAAATTGGAGGAACACTTAGATATGAGAAAATGCATTTATTAAATATAGTTCATAAAACACCTTTGAATGAGACCATAACGGTCATCACCTCTTCCCCATAGATTGGTGAAGAAGTAGCAAATAATAAAGAAATGTAACATGCCATTAGTGAGAGCTTTCATTAATGTTGAATATTCACAACCAGCTCACTTCAAAAACAACAAAGTTGCTCATCCTTGTCTCCGCTCCTCACTTAGCATGTGTGTGTAAATATGAAGTATTTGGAAATCCAGGTGATGCTTCTATCTAATAACCCCATGATGAAAATGACCTGAAGAACTCAACATGGCACCAAGCTTTACAGACGCATGATCCTGTTATGTGTGTAATACACAAAGCCATGAAACAACTGTATACACGTACCATTTATCACATTGAACACCTTTATAACCACTGGAAAATGTGTCTCCACAGTATCTCAATGATCCCTGGTTATACACTGTGAATAGGCTGTGCGTCCTGTGAAGATGCTCATTCTTATAACAAAATATACCATGCATAACTTTCAATAAATATTAAATGGATGATGAATGAAAGAAAAACAGTTGACTTTCTATTCTTCCTCTTATGTTAAAGACAAAAAACATGGTTTATTCTAAAAGTAAAAATACCTCCAGTCTTTGGTTAATAATACAGTCGCTATCTGTGGTCAGAAGTTGACTGCTTTCAGCTTCCTCTCCTCCTTCTCAGTGAGGGGCTGCTGGGTGAGGATCTTGTCGTGCAGGCGGTGGTGTTTGCCGATGCCCAGCTTCGGCAGCCCTCGGTTCAGACCCTCCAGCAGCACGCAGGCCTTGCACAGACTCTGGCTGGAGATGTAGCCGCAGCGTTGGCAGGTTCCCTGCACCGGCATCTTCACCCCGTCCCGCACAGACAGGTTCTCCCCCGAGTGGATGATGTCCATTATAGAGCTAGGCCTGACGCTCTCCAGGTCCTTCAGAAAGGTCCTTGCATGGCCACGATAAGCATTGGGGGAGTAGATACATTCAGTGGAAAAGTAGTCCAACTTCTTAAAGTAAGCGTACAGAACAATTTCTTTCTCATATGCATATTTGAGGGGCTTGCAGCGCGGCACGACCCCATCACCTTCGCTGGATGTGGAGACGGCCGTGCAGCGGCGCAGACGAGCTATGTCCCCTCGCAAAACGTTCATCAAAACAGTCTCTGCAATGTCATCAGCATTGTGACCTGGGATAAACACAATAACAACAACACAATATTCAATCTTTGACATTAAAAGCACATTATGTCATTTCTTTGCCACTAGGGGTCTAATTTAAAACACAGCACAAAAAAGGCACATATAATAACACCAAAACAGGAGATCAAAATAAATCATATTGCCTTGATTCAAATGTCTCTAGATTTGAAAATGTGTGGAAACATTTGGTATAAAGTAAGATCAAAACTCAAAAAATTATATACGAGCTGTTTATAGATATATTTGGAAATGTCACGTATTATATCTTTAGTCCTAGCACTTATTAGTCACATTTCAAAGTAGCCCCCACAAATAGAATCAAATACCGTGGGAAACACTGAAGTAATAGTTCTTGGAGTTACCTGTACATATCTTGTCCACTTTCAGCATGAGGGCTCCTCTGTCGAGCGCCTGCCTTCTGAACACGCCGCAGAAGGTGCAGTTATTCTTCCGTCCCACCTGCTTCACTATAGCGTCCATAGTCCAGCCATACAGCTCCTCATACGACACAATCTTCAGCGGCAGCTCATACTGTTGCTGATTCCTCTTCACTGTCTCCAAGGAGTCATCTCTGTAACCTGAGATACCCTCGTCCACCGAGAGAAGCATGAGTTCAAGGCCGTAGTTGAATCTCTCATTAAGGAGCTTCATGACATGTGCGAGCACAGTGGAGTCCTTTCCACCCGAGGCAGCAATCCCTACAATTTCCCCATGTTTGAACAGATTTGCTGTCACGATGGTCTGATGCACCTCTTCCTCGAAGGCCCAGAAGAAACACGCCTTGCACAGCGAGTGGCCAGTTTTCGGACGTTTCAACACAGCACGCTTGTCACCACAGCTACTGCAGAGGACAGGCATCTTGACTGTTGGAGGAGGTTATGGTAAAGGATAACATGTTCAAAATTAGTTAAACAGATATTTCAATCCCTCACATAAAGTGCAATCTTACAAAACTCTACTGACCCAATGGTTTTAGTGTCAAGGAAGTTTTTCTTATAAATACATTTTGCTTTCATCCAAGTAATCTTACACTGTTGTTAAATTTAGTTTACAAAATGTGTCCGTTGTTTGTTGATCAGCTTTATAACATTGAGAAGCCATTGTCCAGGATGTGAACTGCTAAATATGTTTGCACTTTTATAATTTACATTATATATAGTTTGCTTTCAGTAACGTTTTTTTTTCTCCAGTTCTGTCAAATGCAACCGCTAATATTCTGCTTTATTGTTATTTTCCTTTCTTGATTTGTGATATAAATGTTCCTGACTGAAATGTTAATAAGAAACAGACAAAAACAATACAGTTTAAAAGGGAGGAAGTAACTTGTACAATGTCCCATAGGTTTTCTAATGTATTTGAGGCATGCCAAATAAAAGAGTTGAACAAAACGATTGATAAAACCTCTTTGAACAATTAAACAGTAATGTCTTTTGGCAACCAGCATAGCTAGTTTACTTTACTTTAGTTTTTAAGCTTAATAAGATATACAATAAAACTAAAGTTAGTACAGAAAAACCCTATAATTAATGCAGATGGTGTTATAAGCCAACTGGTTTCATAACATGATTACATGAACAGCTCTAAATTAGCTAGCTAGCCTTGTAAAGCGTAAAAGTCCCATTTACATTAGGTAAAAAAAAAATCATACCAACGTTTCCAATTAACCGAAGTCTGAAGTGAGAATGTAGCGATGAAGTGTACTTGAAACATACAGCTTTTCTTACTCAAACAACGTAAGAATTACAGGTCTATGAGTTAAAGTAGCATGTTGTTTCATCATGTGTCGTTTGCTCTTCTTAGCTGGAAAACCGGAAATGACGTCACCTGCTTTTGCCCCTCCAGCACAACGTAGCGGTCGGAGTTGCCCAGTGCAACATACAAACTGCAATTAAAATGGGTTTCCAAGTACATTTTATAGATCTTTTTAATGACATAATCAGAGGTGTTAATGACCTAAGTACATTTTTTCAGGTACTATACTTAAGCACAATTGTGAGGGACTTTACCAGAGTATTTCCATTTTTTGCTACTTTGTAGCCTACTTCTACTCCACTTCAACTCACAGGAAGGCGTGTACTTTTACTCCACTACATTTATTTTATAGCTTTATTTACTTTGCAGATTTAGATTAATTATATAACATTTAATCAGCTACACCTGGAGTAAATCCACAAGCTACCCTGCAGTATACAAAGGAATTAAAACTAGTTCCACCGTTACCAGCTTTGATAACACTTGAATGCGTCAATAATAATATTCAATATATAGGCTATTGTGGGGGAAACTTCTGTAGCAATTGGAAACAGGACTCAGAGAGACACGAGGAGAGCTGGAGCTTTGATGGCAAACACTGACGGTTTATTTGGAGCTAGACATGTCACGGGCCACTTTTTGACCACACGGTTGAGATGCCACAATCAATTCTGAAGAAGCCTCCTGTAGTTCTAGGTTTTAACTAGTTCAGAGTGTAATAATCAACCCCGAAAAGGATGTGTTCCAGGTGTCCCACAACAATAACTATCTCTGACCGATAATTGCCCGGTCATAAACAACAACAAAATGGTTGGGAGATAGCGGCTGCCCAAGGTTGGGCATCTGCGTCAGAGGGCAAAAGGCAAACATAATAATATAATTCTGGAATTGGGCGGTCTACATAATGAGTGCTTTTACTTTTTGTAATTTGGATGCCAATACTACTTGTAGGCTACTTTTACTTATAAGTAAGATTTTGAATGCAGGAATTTTACTTGTAACAGAGTATTCCTGCTCTTCGGTAGTTCTACTTTGACTTAAATACACAATCTGAGTACTTCTTCCACCTCTGGACATAATGAACGTAAATTCAATTTTCACTCCCGATGTTTCTTTAAGATATTTTTAAGAAGTCTGGCAAAGACACAAGATACATCATGCAACACAGTCTAATGTAAGCAATAAGGTTTTATTAGTTTGCTTGAAAGAACGTCACTCCTCTAGCAGCTGCAATAGATATCAAAATGCTTTAAGGTGTAAATGAAGGACAAAGAGGGGGGGTGTGATGCTGGGAGGGAGCAAGCCTGCAAGTTTCAGGTTCAATGACAGGAAAGAGTCACAAGCTTAGTTGACGGGTTTGAAAGCACCCCTCTGATGCCACTGCATGTCTCTGACGCGCCGGACAGACTGGATCTGAGGGGTCTGGGCTCCGAACTCAGAGCTGTCCTTATACTCCCCCTTCTCAAACAGGTACTGATAGCCTCTGTAGCCTGGATACTGATACCCCACCCAACTGGAGCACCAGGAGCACAGAGAGAGAAAATAGATCAGAGTTAGGTAAGAAGAGACATTCAGTTAGTGCAGCATGACATAGCCTCTGTATCCGATGGACTCACGTGCCACTCTGCACCCGGACAGAGGAGACCTTCTCCTGGTAGCCGTGTGCGTGAAAGCTGGGGACATCATCATCTATGATTTCTATCTTCTTCCCTGCAAAGCTGGGGTTCTCGTAAAGGACAATCTTGTGCTCCTGGCTGTCCTGTAAGCGAGGAGAAAAGTATTTACAAAGTGGATAACTTATTAGAGGAATACTTCACCAATAAATTGGCCGTTTGTATCAATTTTAGAACCTGTAAACGTTGACCTCGCAGGCCTCCATGGTGGCATGAAGAGTCAAAAAACAAAGAAAGGCCTGATGAAAGAGCTGTTTTGTTTAACAGCAAAAGCATATCAAAACATCTGTTTGAAAAAGCTCATAAAACTTGTGTAGTATAATCAATCTTATTGATCATGATTTCACTATAAACTTACTTTAAAGCACTTCTGCATCAACAGAGGATACAAAGGACCTGATTTATAATGCACCAGCTGTCTGAGTTTGTAAAAATATGTTTTGTTAAAGTTCTGCAGTTTTTAAAACGCTGCCCCTGTTTCCTTCAATTCATCTCAAACTTTCTCTGTGTTTTGAGTCTTCGTTCACCTGGTAGGCATGTAAAAGTCCTCTTCAGGAATTCAAGTAAGCATGGGGAATAAAATAAAACTTTGTGGGACAACTGGGGGATATACTAATGTATTTTTTTACATTAGTTTGTATGTATGTTTGTTACCACTTTAATCGGGCGGAAAGCAAGAATGGTGTCGCTGCGCCTGCTGTTGGTCCAGGAATCCCAGCGAGGATACTCCCCCTTCTCATACACATACTGCTCCCCCTTACAGTCGGCCTGCTCGTATCCCACCCATCTGAGCGTGAGGAGAAAGAGAGAGATGGTTGAGTGCAAAACAGTCAAAATAACACATTTAGTCGTTACTTTTCTGGCCATTTTACTCCCTTCTATATCATCCTCAATCACTGGAGCTGCCATGGCATGACGACTTGTCAATAGGTCAATTCACAGAGAAACATTTGGATAATCTTCAACACATTTTTCCATTCAGCAATGTCAGAAATTAATATTTTTAACCCTATCAAAGAGCTTTTTTTGAGAAACTATTACACAAATATATATACACTATATAAGCTCACAGTTTTTTAAAAAGTTTTAGTCTCTGTCTGTCTTTATGCCACACTCACGGTCCACACAGCACCAGTATGGAGCCCACTTTCTCCACGCCTGCTTCCTGGACGTTGTTGCAGGGACCAGTCAGCTCATGGCAGCGTCCCTGGAAGTTTTCCTGTTCATAGATAACCAGCTGTGCACCAAAGAGAGAAAAGGGGAAGAATTTTTGTGAATTTCTGGTCTCTAATTTTAAGATCTGTTTCCAATTATGTTTGGAGGAGGCAATGATCCAGAACAACAAGTTCTTGCTCCAAGGAGGAAGTTGTAAATTGTTTTGTAATCTCAATTCCTCCCACCTTAAATGCACTGGTGCCTGGCTGCTGCTGCTTGGATGCAGGGTTCTGGTGATCTGCGGCCATAGTGAATAGATCAGCAATCAAGAAACTGCAAAAAAAATACAATTAGTTTATCCATGGATGTTTACATGATTTATAAATGTTTACATTTAAAATGCAAGCAGGTCAAACTCCTGCTAAACCCACTTTTCATATATTTAGTTTCATAATGATTTACCTTTGCATGCAAAAATGCACATCACTCTTCCTCAAAAAGTAACTTCATATTCTTCTCACACAAAATTACAATAATGCAACATGGAAAAGAGTTTGTTGCAATGACAAATCAAAACACAGTATGACAATGAAAACAAATACAGATACACTTTAGAGAAAATACAGTGCTACGGACATGAAGCTCTTACCAGTACCTGTCTGTGCCAGTTTGCCAGTGTGTTGTGATGGCACGAGGAGCTCAATATATACGGGACGCCCAGGGGTGGAAACTCTGCCAACAGTACCCACAGTGTGCACACCGGCTGCAGGTCGGCCTGCCATAGGCCCAGGGGACTGAGATGAAGGGTGACCGTGTAGCCTCCCCCCACACCCACCCCGGGGGGTCACACCCCCACAAAGTTATTTCATTAGTTGTCAGTTTTGTGCAGCCAGTCATTGTTCGATATCCACATGAATCAGCACAAACAGTGCCAAGAGTCCCGCACCTACAATGAGAGCCGGAGAGAGAGAGAGGACTGTACAAAATCTGTGTACAGTGCTGAAGAGACTGAATAACAAACCAAAAACACTGCTAAATGTTTCCACAGGAGTCAGTTTATTTGATTTATGTAATTCACTATTAAGGGTTTAATGTCAAAATGTGTTGCCTCTGTTGTTTAAAAACTCCAAAGCATGCATTTTTGTTACCAACCTGTTTACTGTATGCTGCATTTCTCCTGTTTGCAGTAAAATAGTTTAGTGTCCAAAGCCCTGAGCCTGTTTTTCAGGTCTCAGGCTCGAAAATGACATTCCCAGAACAAATGACCATATCTTCCCTTCTAAAAGGGTTAAATTAATAATCTTTTTTCTCAAAGCAAGGTTACATCTGTGAGTTGGATGTAGACATGTCAGAATCAATATAGATGTTTTTATTTTAAAGTAAATTCAGATTGAACACAGTAAAACATTTTAAATGATTGTGTCCGTCCAAAGAAAAAAATTACTTATAGTACAAAAACCACCCTTGAATGATGGGATGCTAGACTAAAAGCTTTAGGAATCCAAACTACAACATATAATAAGTACCCTGTATCAAGATTGATGCAAAACAAGTGAAATTTGACCTTTTTAGAGAGATTTAGCACCAAAAAAACACTTCTGGGGTCATTTGGGAGGATTTGACCTATCTCTGGCCCCCCTTGGTCGATTTTGATGATTGACACCGCTTTTTAACCGCTAGAGCCAATGGAATCGAGGGGAACTCCCACATAACACACACATGACCAAATAAGGAGTGAGAGTGACGCATAGCCAAAACCGGAAGCTGCGATAACTCTGGTGGCTACCACTTTTACTCTCCGATTTTTACATAAAAATGGAATAATAAATAATTTTTTCAAAGTGACAGACACATTTAATTAACCTAATAATTAACACACAGCCGTGTTTTTTCTCGTTTTAATGCCATTTAACACGACTTTTGAGCAGAATAACAGCTAAGTTGAGACGACTGTCCATTTGGTCCTCCGTAATGCTACCGCGTTGTGATGTCTGGTGTTTGCTTCCCCTGTCGCAAGTTCGGCTCGCTCAGTGATGATACTATACCTATATAATCTGTGGAGTCCTCAGATTTAATCGGATACTCTTATATGTGCGTTACGATGAGTAAGGTTATCTTTATCTTGAGTTCTGCTGCCAAAGTGCGTTAGCATTTTTCCGCTCAGGGTCATTTGATTCTTCTTATGAGATTGTGTTTTGTTTTGGTAAAAATGGTTTGTATCGTCAGTAACTTAAGATTCTTCCGTTAATCTGGTATAACCACATTAAATAGGTTTTTTAAATATTAGATGCCCTGAGACACAGTGTCGTGGAAAGAAAAAAAAAAGACCCGCCAAAGCGGGAAGGTTCTTGTTCAGCAGGGTTTATACATTAATTAGCTGCTTTAGTTTTATTTGTATTCTCATTTTTGCATTACCAGTATTTAATTTGAACTTTTATGAGATTCATATGTTGTTTACTAACCTGGAGCACTTTAACTGTTTTCTAGTGCGCCTTTATTAAAAATGTTAGTTTATCTTTTCTTTTTCTCACATACTTTTTTGATATTTTATTTCATTTTCATTTTGATTATTTATTATCTGGTTGTTTTACTGCCTCATTGCAGTCATGAAAGTTTAATCTTTGGTTTCCACATCATTTTGATATTTATTGCATGCAGTTACATACAACTGATGCTTTACAATAAAAACCTTTCATAAAGGCTTACAAACATCGGATGATTGATACACTTTCTTCTGCTGGGCCGTAGAAAAACTATTTGTATGGGAGAAATAGAGAAAAAAAAAAAAAAAAAAAACTACTATTTATTAGTAAAGAGCTAAGAGCTATAGCCCCTCTCTCCACATCTTTGCTGGTGCTTCAGGCCAGTGAGTCTAAAATAAATCTCTTTATAAAGAAATAACCACCTGTGGTGCTCCAGGCGTGTTAACTGACCTTGCACTGACCCAAGTGAAGACGTACAAAGATAAAACATGAAACATGTGGAAAACAGATCTCAGTTGCTATTTGTTTCTGTGCCTGTCTTTAGCAACTCAGTAACAGATCTACAAGGTATTTACGGTATAAATAATCACACATTATGTAAAACCCACCCCCCCCCCCCCCCCCCCCCCCCCAAACCCCCCCCCCCCCCCCCCCCCCCCCCCCCCCCCCCCCCCCCCCCCCCCCCCCCCCCCCCCCCCCCCCCCCCCCCCCCCCCCCCCCCCCCCCCCCCCCCCCCCCCCCCCCCCCCCCCCCCCCCCCCCCCCCCCCCCCCCCCCCCCCCCCCCTACCAATGTAATATGGTTGAACCTTTTATGTAATATTTGTTTTAGTTATTAAGAAGGGATAATGCACAGTCGATTAACATGAGCACGTGAGTCAATGTGCCAGTTTAGCCATAGAGGCTCATTTCCATCTGCAGTCCCTGCAGGTAGATGGATAAGAAAGAACATACAAAGCACAGAAAAACACCACACACACCCTTCATTGTGTATAATCTGCTGCCAAGGCCTGAACAAAAGTGTTTAATAATGTATAAAATGATTATACATTGGTGTAGTGGTTGATATTCGCTCCCTTTTTCTGACTCACCTTTACTCCCACTGGTTCACCAGACCCTCCTTTCCCACACTACCTCCTTTTCTCCTCTCTCCTCCACGTGAGGTCTTCCCTCGTGTACCTCTGGCCGTCCTACCACCTGTCTCTGGACCGTATCCCCTCAGACTATTGCTCTCTGATATTCTACCGTTTTCTCACCCATTTCATAAACACTTCTCTAACTTCTGGTCACTTTCCAAACAGTCTCAAGGAGCAAGGTAACCCTCTCCTAGAACCCACTGTCAATCCGGTCTGATGTTATAACTGACAGGGTTGAGGAACGGATATGAATATGCAGGTTGCAATGTCTGGAGGGATTAGGGGGTCAGAGGACGGGACGGCATTATAAACTACAGGCCTGTCTCTTCTTCCTCCCGTTTTCTGCTAAAACACTTGAAGCGCTGTCTTTAAACACTTCCTGTTAGCTCATCGAACACCTTCTGGATCCGCCACCCAGTCTGTTTCTAAGCAGGTCACTCAAAGAAATGGCGTCTCCTTGCTGTCTCTGAGGGATACGGCACCGTAAAAGGGCCGAGGCCGCTATACCTCTCCTCTGGATCCTTTGGTGGAACCCTTTGCTCATGTTGATGATCGACACGCAGGAGATGAGAGAGAATCAGATGCCTCCTTCGCAAGCTCTTATAGATGATCTTGGAGTTGCTGGAGCTGACATGCACATATCACGACGGGTTCCTGCGTGCATCCACTACTTCAAAGACCGCAATGCCTATGGGTGAACGTGAAGAGGAGGGTCGAGTCCGACCCTTGTCATGTAACTACAGGGGTCCTCAGGGGCTCTGTTCTTGGCTCCCCTCCTCTTCTCCTTGTACACAACTTGCTGTGGATCTATACTTAGCCGCATTGGTTTTTCATACCACTGGCCTACGCTGCGTACACCACAATTCTGTCCTTTCCCCGCTTTCAGAGACCCAGTCGTCGCACGCCATCCTCTGCTTGCCTAGTAGAAATCTCTCGGTGGATGTCTGCTCATCACCTCAGCTTCAAGCCTTGAGCAAGACTAACTGCTTCTCCTTCGGAAAAGAGTTGTCCCACTCTTGACTGCCTAACAATCAACATTCGGCCACCTCTGTTGTTTTCCCCGACTCAGACTGCAATAAATCTGGGTGTGATCCTAGATGACAAACTGTCCTTCACTGCAAACCATTGTCGGCTCAACCGCTGTGGTACTGCAGATACACGATTTACAAACATCAGGAGGATACGTCCGCAGCTGACCCAGAAATCAGCGCGCAGGTTCGTCCAGGCTCTCGTCATCTCCACGCCCCTGAGACTACTGCAACACCCTGCCTGGCTGGTCTACCTGCATTGTGCCTCCGACCTCTGCAGCTCATCCAGAATGCCGCGGCTCGTCTGGTCTTCTAGTCCCATTCCAAGCTCTCCGCGCGCACACACTGCACGCTCCCTCCGCTCAACTAACCTGTCATACTGAGCTTCCGGTATCCTGCTTAGTAATTCCAGTCTAAGACTACTGGTACTGTGGTTTGCGCAGATTTTACAACAATGAGGGTGTGTGTGTTGTTTCTGATGCGCTTTTGACTATGTTTTCTGTCTGCGATTTCTGGATCTGTCGCGCCACCTTACCTTTGCCGCGCTACTCGTACAGAGGTGGAAACTGTGGTTAAGACCGTACACTCCCCAGGGCGTTGACTACTTGGCCGCGCTCACTGCATCGGGTGCTCATGTTATGAATGTGCCACCAATATACCACGCGCTCTTGTCATGTCAACTACACTCTAGCTAGACGAGTTTCTATAAGGTCAAACATAGTAGGATCTGCATGATTGTGTGTCCCATCTGCAAATGACAATAACACTGTGTTGATAGGTTTGTTTGTATCGGATAATAGTGTGGACGTTATGATACCTCCCCATTGTACATCAGGACAGCAAGAAAAGCTAACTCTTCCGCGTGACTGAAGATTGCATATCGACTCATACTGTACCG